TGGCTGAGGTCACACAACCAGTAAGGGGCAGAGGCTTTATTACCAATCTTGCTATACTATAATATACCACTAATATACCACTTTGAAGAGAGTTTAAATGGGTCTTTTAAAGTCCATTCCATAAACTAAATTTTATTTCTGACAAATAAGAAACACAGAGCGTGAGCTTCCGGGAGAACATGGCAGATAGGTAGCAGCAGCTTCGTAGGCTCTCTGAGAAACCGCACTTAAAATCCAGGAATGGTGCTGGGCGAGAAATCCTAAGCAAGGGGAGATATACTTTGCCGACCCAGGAATAAACTAAACTAAGAGAAACCAACTGGAAATGCAATCCCGGTGATATAACAGGAACAGATAAGGTCTCAGCGCAGAAGCTAGACCTTGTGCCACTGGAAGCTGTGATTTGAATTTCCTGCAGCCGCTGCTGCATCCCAATTGGTGCGGCAAGGAGAGAGGTGCAAAAGCTCTGAGAATGGGAAGCAGTGAATGGAGTTGAGAGCGGGACTGGCCAGGAGCCCTGCATTGACTGTGGTGAGTGAGCGGATTGGGGACCCTTCCATAGGAGGCTTCAGCAAAGGACATACTGGGACCGGGCAGACTAGACGGAACAGGTTGTTGCAGTGACTTCAGTCACATATTCCCCTCTCAAGCAGGATTGGTGGGGAGTGCCTGGTCTGCGTGATGCTGCTGATTAAGACCCAGTAGGCGAGACCAAACCAGGTCCCAGCGCCTGGAGGTGCACCCTAGCAGTGAAGCCTTTGGTAGGCTGACCTGGAGGGGTAGGCTCAGCATAGGCTGCCCAGGTCTCTGTCTCCCTAGTATACTGCAGTGGGCGGGAACACCTAGCTGGCACAATTCAAATGAACTGTAACCGACAAAGAAAGAAACTGGGCCTCCTATATTCGCTTGTATAAAAGGAACAAAAATATGGGAAGAGGGAGCAACAAGAAAGGGTCCTTGGCCTCCAATCCTGAGAAAAATGCAGTATCAGACACAGCACCAATAGACATAAAGCGCTACCTCCAGAGCCTCATAGATGAGTTCAGGAATGAAGTTATTAATGACCTGAAGCAAGATATAAGTAGAACAGTTAGAGAAATGCTAAACACTGCCCAAGAAAAAGCAGATGGTGGAATGGAAGAACAGAAAAAAAGGGGAGAATTGTATAATGCAGACAATAGAGAAAACATAGAATACATGAAGCAGGTTCAAAGAGATTACCAGGAAACTAAAAACTCTATCGAAAACTGGCCTAACAGCTTGAAAGAAACTAAGGATAGATTATCTGAACTGGAGGGCAGATTTGCAATATGGGAGCATGAAATGAAAAAATTCTTAAAAATAACAACAACAACAACAAAAAAACCAGCAACAATACAAAGGCTAGAAGATGATAAGAGGATATATAACTTAAGAATTAAGAACATAAAAGAAGAAGTAGGGACACAAACAAATGGGCTATAAAAGCTATTCACAGAAATAATCCAAGAGAATTTCCCTAATTTAGCAAATGGTAAAGATACTCACATGTACGAGGCATACAGGACCCCAGCCACCTACAACCGAAACAGAGCTATACCCAGGCATATAATAATCAAAATTCCAGAAATCTAATATAAGAAAAGAATATTAAAAGCTGTCAGAGACAAGAAACAGATCACTTACAAGGGAACACCCATCAGAATTACAGCAGACTTCTCAGCACAAACCATCAAATCACAAAGAACATGGGGGGAAATAATTCAAGCTTTGAAAGATAATAACCTCCAGCCAAGATTGATATATCCTGCACAACTGTCCCTAGAAATTGATGGAAAAACAAGGTGCTTCCAGGATAAAGAGGAACTAGGGGAATTTGCAACCACCAATTCTACAGAGAATACTGCAGGATATTCTAAAAAAGGAAAATACCAAGACTTCAGAAACAGTGGCAGAGAGGCCACAATGAATGGAGCAAAAAGCAAAATGAAGAAGACAAACTGACAACAAACAACAGAAAAAGAGCTCAACAGAAATGAGGCAGAGAAGATCGGATGGTAGGAATAGCTATTTTGGAGAAAACAAGACATCATACTAGCTAGTGCTGATTTAGTATCATCTTGCTTTGAAGTCCCATCAAACTTGTATCCTTCTGTCTCCATTGGTCTTAAAAGGTTGTATCTTATTGGATTTTATTATATATGATAATATAAGTAAAAACTTTTACAGACAAGGAGATTATACAGAAACTATTGTTCATTTTCTGTTAATTGATTCTAAATACCCTGTAATAATGTCATTCTCTTAAATGGTTTTATAGTGTCTTGATATGTTTGGTGCTACAGTATACGAAGTTATACTCAAAGATTTCAAGGAAAGAGACACTATGGTAACTATTTTTATGTCAGGATATCTTGAGGTGAAACACTATTTTGCTTAAATGGTTATGTTTTGACCTGTGCTGTTCTGTTGTTATGCCCTCTTTTATCTCAATCCCTCCCCCCTTTTAAAAATTATTTACTTTTTCTTTTTATCTTTTTAATTAAGGGAAAAATAAATAAAAAATAGCAGGATACATTATAGTAACCTACTTTGATTTCCTATTAACTTGATTTGAAACCCTGTATAGCCCTCACCATCTTGCTTTGACTGATTTTCCTCTATTCTGCTTTGCTTGATAGTACCAAGTTCGAAAGTATAGGCAAAACTGTGAAGACAGTAAGATTCATTATGACGCCCATTCCGGTTGACTATTATCTTCTTTTAAAGTCCTGTAATGTCTCCAATGCTTTGGTTTTATTCTTTACTGTTTTGTTCAATTTTATTATAACTGGCAATTATTCTTAAAATAGCAAGAGGCAGTATGGTAACCATTGTTGATCACCTTGTATTTTGTTTTTACATTACCTATTATGTCCGTTCTTTTGATTTGACTGACTCTGTTCTGGTATGTCACATTTGGTTTTACTCTCTTCAAAAAAAGTAATAAGAACTGTGGGAGTAATAAAACCTAAAATGTAATTGTCATTGTACAAAAGAAAAGAAAGTGCTCTAAAGGTTATAACTGCATATATGTTTAAGTGTATAAGATAGATAACCATATTACTGAGTTTTTTTGGATCATTGAACAAAACTTTGCACTCTCACTGTCTGAAAGTTCACTTTATATGCTTCAATTTTGTAACTTGAACAACTATTTCTAAGATGAGAATATGTAATCTATTAACTAGTGATTTCTGTTTATTTTTTAAATTCTGTATTACTTGTACCCTTTTTTTGTTTTTTTCTTTTTGTCCTTAAATAAAAAAAAAAAAAAGGAAAGAAACACAGAGCATGTGGGTATGCTAGGCTCACTACAATAAAGTGACCACATTTGTATGAAGCTTTTCTTCTCTCTAAAATGGTGAGACATCAGCACTGCTATGGGCTAAACTGTGTCCCTACTTTCATGCTGAAATCATATGTTGGAGCCCTAACTTCAAGCACCTCAAAATGTGACTGAATTTGCAATTCTGTTCTTTAAAAGAGGTGATCAAGTTCAAAGGAGGCCTGCAGGGTGGACCCTAATCCAACTGAACTGGTGTGTTTTGTGAAGAGAAAATCTGAATGCACAGGGAGACATCATGCACGCACATGCCAAGAGGTGAGGCCCCTGAGGACATGCTGTGTGTGTATCTGTGTTGTGGTTGTCCATAAGTCTGAGAGAGAGGCCTCATGAGAAACCAGTCCTGGCAATACCTTCATCTTGGACTTGCAGCCTTTACAACTATGCAAAAATAAACTTCTGTTGTGTAAGTCATCTAGTTGGTAACATTTTGTTACATCCCTAGCAAATTAAAACAAACACATTCAAAATGATTATCACAGTACCTGGCAAGCAGTTTAGTACTTCATCAATGATTTTACCATTAGTTCAGTTGTGAATACAAATGGACACACAGCCTTTGTTCCTTTGTCTCAGCTTAAAGAAACATGTCCTGAGATATTAAAACAATCTTTAAAATGCTGTTTCTAATCAATAAATTTTTTCTGAAACTTTTTTAACTTTTCCCTAAAACTTTAGAAGACAAAATATTTTTCAAGCAAAGTATCAAACATTGGGTAAAAATCAGCTTTTATAATTGTTCATCATATGGCAATGTTGGAACTGCATGTGACTTTGGAAAACTTTCCTGTAGTTATTACAGTTTTGGAAGTTTGAGTATCAACGCATGTTGAAGTCATTCTCAAAGATCATGGTGGAAAGAGAATCAGAATACACAAAACACAGCAGCGCGGGTGAGAAAATAGCAGTACACTGAGTTTTCCTTGAATGAAACTACCTGTGTCTAAGCTGGCACATAAATTTCACCTCACAGGCCAATTCTAACCAATTTCCTTGGACACTTAGGCTAAGAATGGCTCCCAGGTCATATCTGGAGTCAAGACAGGCCATTAAAATGGAATAGAGATGGCACCTGGGATATAGAGAACAGCAGTAAAAAAGATGTACATTCCCCATCTGGACATTGGCCAATGGGCTCCTGCGATCCCCATCTTTTAATACAGGGCTCCTAGAGAATCAGAAGATTGTACACACTGGAGGTCATTCAATAGCCTATGGAAGTAAGCAATTTGGAATTTATAAAGAAATAAATGCTTTTCATTAAAGGTATATTTCTTTACATTTAATCTTTGTTATTTGAAACCATAATGAAACATAATAAAAATCTTTGTTGTTTGAAAACATAATGAAAACCTTTTGCACTAACAAAGCCCTTAGCTGGTCAATTTTTAGTGCACTCAAAACTGTTTAATGCTCAATAAATGCACATTGTTATGGAGGATCTCAGAACAAATTCTGAGCATAGATGGCAATGTATGAATACCAGAAGCTCAAATATGGTTTTCTTTTATACTACGAACTTAAGCTCTACAAGAGTGAGTTGCTGTGTGGCAGCAGTCAACTAACCCCCGATGGAAAGCCACTGCAAATGACCAACAAAGCAGCAATTGCTTCCAAAGTGGTTATCTCAGGAAGGATGCTGAGAAGTCCAAGACTCCAGGAGTAAGCCCCAAATGGGTCAAATAGCTTTCTACACAAAAACTGCCAGCTCAACTCCCACCACAGTCCACCCTATGGGTTAGGAGAGAAAGACAGTGAGAGAGAAACTGACTAAAACCAAGTTTGGCATCACCTTGGGAAAACCACAAAAGGCAGGAAGGTGTTGTTGAAAGGGAGGCTTTTCTCCCAAGATCATCACAAATAAGCCTTATTCAAGGCACTGTCTGTATCACTGCAGCAGGAACAGAGTAAGTTCCTAGTGTAATAAACATACCATTATAGTGTTTTTTTGGTTTTGGCTTAGTTTGGTTTGACTTTGCTTTGTTTTGCAGTGCTAGGGGACTGAACCTGGGGTTTGAACTCTGATATACATTTCCAGCCCTTGTTTTGTTTTGAAAAAGGTCTTACAAAGTCACTAAATTTTCCAGGCTGGACTCAAATTTTCAATAGTCTTGCCTCAGCCTCCCAGTGTGCTGGGCTTATAGGCATTAGCACAACCATATAAAATTTGGTATTGTAGTTCTTGTACACAATACAATGCATATCTGACTACATTTTAGACTACAAATCAGCTACTTCAATTCACTTAATCTAACCAATTATGATCACATTTCTATTAAGCTTGTTGGAGTAGTTTTGCTTATGCAGTAACCTTTTGTACCGTCCTAAAATTCTGCCAAAATTTGCAGATTTAAAGTAATTAATTATATGTCTTAAAAATTTCTTCCAAAATATAAAAGCAGAACAAAATAATGCTTATGATGGCTTATTTTTAAAAACTATGTAGAAGACTTTAAAAACTCTTCAATTCTGAAAACTCTTAACAGAATAGGCAAAAAAAAAAAAAAAAAAAATTTAAAGGCCAGAGGCTTTTAATCTCAGTACTCTGGGCCCCAAAGTTCAAGACCAGCCTGACAATGTAGCAGCTCAGCAAGACCCTGTCTCAAAATAAAGATACAGGGATACAGCCCAGTGCAAAGGCCCTTCCTAAACCTATCAGCATACTGACATCCTCAGACATTTGTATGTTCCCATATGAAATTATAGTTAGTTATGCTTTTAAAAATACTGCTTCTAGGAGAATGCAATCTCATTCAAATATCAGACTTTCTGGAGAAACGCCTCGAATTCCGCTTTCCTTTGTCTCTTACATGGTTTTAATAACCAGAAAGGTCCCATATGGAACGTGAGTACAGGTGGTTAAGTAAAGGCCCTCTCCCGTTCCCTTCTTTCCACAGCCTGGCAAGGTGTTTTGAAGCCTAAAGGAGCTCTGTAGGAGGTGAGGGCCCACTGGTGGTGCCAGCAAGCAGAAATGTTTAGTGACTTAATACACTGGGCCACATGTGGCAGTTTGCAAAACAGCCCCAGGATATGAGATATAGTTACTTCAGTGGGTTCCTTCCGTTCCATAATCTTTCTTTTTTTTTTTTTTTTTTTTTAAATTTTATTTAAGGAGAAAAGAAAAAAAAAGCAGAGAAAGGGTACAAGTTATACAGATTTACAGAAAAAAATGAACAGTAGGAAATCACTAGTTAATGGATTACATATTGTCATCTTAGAAATAATTGTTCAAGTCACAAAATTAAAGCTTGTAAAGTGGACATTCCATCAATGATACTGCAAACAGTTCTGTTCATTGATCCAATAAAACTCTGTGATATCATTTTCTATCTTATACACTTAAATATACATGCAGTTATATAGTTTGGAGCACTTTCTTTTCCTCTCTTTTGTACCATGACTGTTACACATTTTAGGTTTCATTGCTCCCACGGTTCTTATTACTTTTTTGGAAGAGAGTAAAACCAAATGTGACATAACAGAACAGAATCGGTCAAGTCAAAAGGGTGGACATAATAGATAATGTAAAAACATAATACAAGGTGATCAACAATGGTTACCATAATGCCTCCCGCTATCTCTAATAGAATTGCCTATATCGTTAGTTATAATACAATTGAACAAAGCAGTAAAGAATAAAACCGACAAAACCAAAACATTGGAGACATTGTAGGTCTTCAAAAGTAGATAAAAGTCAACAAGAATGGGCGTCATAATTAATCTCATTATCTTCACAGCTGATGCCTAAACTTTCGAACCTGATACTATCCAGCAAAACAGAATAGGGGAACATCAGTTAAAAACCAGATGGTGAGAGTAATACAGGGCTTTAAATCAAGGTAATGAAAAGTCAAAGTGGGTTACTATAATATATCCTGCTATTTTTTTCCTTTGATTAAAAGGATAAAGATAAAAAAGTAAATAATGGAGTGGAGATTGAGATAAAAGAGGGCATAACAACGAAACAGCGCAGATCAAAACATAACCATTTAAGCAGAATACCTCAGGAACCATGGGAGCTGAGGGGGGAGGGGCAAGAAAAATGTCTTGTGATTTGAGTTCAAAACACGTATTATACTTAAATCTTGTGTTGTAGTCAGGGTTTATAAGGGAAAAGATTAATAGAGGACACATGATTTATAGGTTTATTTTATAATAAACCTCAAAAAGTCAAATGTAGAAGAGTACAGGAGATCTGTCCACACACTAAAGACCCAAGGAATCCATCTGAGTGTCTGGATCCCACAGTAATGTTGTCCACAAGTCCGGCTGGAAGTGTAGAGCACATGGCAACATCCTCTATGAGTCCAGCTGGAGACCCAGAGCCCATGACAATGTGTCATGCAAGTCTGTATCAAGGATCTGTGCTGGGAGGCCCCAAAGGTCCATAGTGGAGGCTAGAGTCTGGGCTAGTGAGATAAAGGACCTGTGCCAGGAGGCTGAGGAATCCGCACTGGAGCCAAGAAGCAATGCTCAAGGTAAGGCCCAAAGCTCTCCTGAAAAGAATCACAGCCATCCTGCGACAGCGAGGACCTGAGCTCCTCCAGTGATAACAGCTGAGTTCACATCAGGAACACCAGCGTGACAAGCTTCTCCAGGAGAATCAACGGCACCCCATCTTCCCCTGCAGTTGTCTTTTCATGCTGTTGGCAACAATCCTGAGGCGGACCTTCTACACCCAGAACCTCGCAGATTCATTTCAGCTGTGTGTTACAAAATGACCATTAGTTAGCCACATCCTGGAAGTAATGCATCTCACAACATCCAGGCTACTCACATTTAATAAATGGGCAATAAATGCATTATGAATCAAATTGCTTCATCCACATTCTCTACATGGTTTCTTTCCTTGGAATTCATGCTATTAATTCTACACTAATGACAGGTAATTAAGAAACTTAGTCTCATTAGTTTCTTTTACCTGACATGAGATAAAACAAAAACAAACAAAAATACACCCAGTGATCTCATTACTAGGCTACTGTTTATAGTCTCCTTGCTGGGCCAGCCAGGACGTGTCTGAGTCTCCATTCCTGAGTCTGTCCTTTATGACAAACCCATACCCTCTACAAGTGAGTACGTACTGAGCACCTACTCACTGCATACATGCAGCAGCACATTACATTTCAAGGGACTAGAAACTGCTTGATTTGATGAGGAGGCTTCAGACACTTTCCTAAACAGAGAACGCATATTTCATTTAAACACATGTGGAATGTTTATAAAACTTAAAGCATTTAACTACAAAGGAAATCACAACATATTATTCAAAGTAGAAATCATACAGATCCATTTTCTAATTGGGGGGAGGGTGTGGGGAAACTGTCCCTGTCTTTCTCTCTCTCCCTCCAAAAACATTAATCACTGAAATGCTTTTTTAAAAAATTTCCTCACTCATCATAAGGTTTCTGGCAAAAGCCACTATGTCAAAAGAGAAATTAGTAAGAAAAAAAGCATACAAATGTATTTAATCAAGGCTGGGGATTTAGCTCAGTGGCATAAGTGCCTGCCTGGCAAGTACAAGGTTGTGAGTTCGATCCCTAGTACAAAAAAAAAAAAAAAAAGTATTAAATAATAGTTTTAAGTGATGACAAGGCCTTCAGAACTGAAGAATCAAAGAAACAGGAGGAACTTGTACATTTTTATGCTTCAATTTGATGAAAAGTACACAGTTGTGCCCAATTATGATTTGGAAGATCGCCTGTAATAAACTGAGGCACACTTTGTAAGGCCTGTGTTCAGATTCTTTTCAGCACAGCTCTACAATATTCCTTCTTTCTGGGGCACCTGTCACGAGGGCTGTCAAGGGAGAAAAGAGGGACAGGGTGGGAGGGGACCTTTCCTGACTTTGTTGTCCACTTGAGGATGGGTGAGGGACTGTGTGTGTGTGTGTGATTTTCCTGATTCTGCTGTTTCTGTTTCCAGGTTCCATGTTCGGGATAGTGGGACCTGAGCTCCATCCGTCCTATTTCTTCCTTTCATTTTGCCATACTTTTATGATTGATCCTTTCTGGGTCTTTTGACTGAATACCTATTTTATTTTGGTCACCTCTCATGATTTTTCAATAAATACAAATTATCCATTAAATTCAGTTTTAACTGTGTCCAAGAGTTTTTCTATATCCTGATTTTGTTACCTTTCATAACTGAATGGTTTATAATTTTATACTTTTATTCTTTTCTATACAAAGTGCTGCTGCTTTACAGGTCTGGAGCATTTCTCCCGGCAAGAGTCAAGGTGGCGGCAGAGCTCTGTTTGCTTCCCAACCTGGCCCCAGAGGACAGTCTGTTTTTTCCTTCCTGTTACGGTAACCAATGCCCGCCCTCACTGCTTGTTTCATGGCTCTGTCCCTTTGAGTGGAAAGCCAGCAAGGCTGAGCTGAGTCTTTCTCATGTTCCATCCTTCTCACACTAACTCTGCTCCCCCTCTCATGCATTTAAGGACATTAGATTTACCTCGATAATCCAGAGCAATTAGTGACCTTAATTTCTTCTGCAGCTAGTGATGTAGTGTATTCATAGGTAACTTTGAGCTAGGACTTGGACATTATTTTGCCCACTGCAAGTTTATACCTCTCTAAACTAGCTGTACTTGTTAACTTACAAATATGTATCACTTTCATAGTTTAAGAGTACCTGAGTAGTTCTTAAACGTTAAAAAGAATTAAACTTACTTTGTTTTTGTACTGGGGATTGAAGTCATGACCTTGTACTTGCCAGGCAAGCACTTGTGCCACTGAGCTAAATACCTGGCCTAAACTTACTTTTACAATGATAAAAAATGGGATGTTTCAGGATTAGGAATAAATATTCCATAAACAGAATACTCCCAAAGACTCAGAAACCTGGAAACATACAGGTGGAATATGGCATTAGACTCGGCATTTTTTAGGTCATGGAATAAAATGAACGGGACAGTTCACAAGAGGAAACCTGAGATGTTCCCGAAAATGAAAGGTATAACTTTTATTCACATCACACTTCCAAATAAACCACACAAAAGTTTGCAAAACCTTGAAAACTTGCAAAAACTTGAAAACAAATTAAATAGTGGAAAAAGATGGAGAAAAACACATCTGTAATCTTGGATGGTGAAAGCTTTCCTTATACCCCAGTCCATAAAGCATGTTAATAATAGTAAGATAAAAGCAATAGACGAAGCAACCAGTACTTTATGTCCTAGAGAACCAGCATTCATAATCAATGAAAATCTTCTGTAATCTGACAAAAAGGCAATACTAAAAGAAAATGAGCAAAAGACATGAACAGTCCAATTCACAGAAGAAATGCGATGATGATAAATATGTGAAATATCCAACTCACTAATAATGAAAGATAAGTTACACGTTTTTAAAAAAAAGTATTTCTCTAGACACAAAATGTTCACTAAAAGCACAGACACTGATGTGCCAAATCAGGGTTGAACAAAGGTCCTGTTGCTGACTATTCACAATGCAGCTTTGGGGAAGTTAAGCTCTGTGAGCCTCAGTTTCCTTATATGAAAAAAGAGATGACAATAATACATCTTAACTCTGAATTATTGTAAAGATGGAATAAGTTATTACACACAAAGTGTTCTGAATAATGCCCATGCAGAGTATTCTCTCAGTAATGGTGATTGTGTATGTATTATGACATAAGCACAAAGATGCTCACTTGCATGTGCTAGCAACGTACACAGTTACACAGAAGTTCACCAGAGCATCACCTGCCACAGCAAAACTGGAATGCCATGAATTACATCAATAGATGGCAGATGGATAAATTTTGTACCTTTAAGACATAGAATAACAATTAGTCATTAAAAAGCATGAGGATGATCTGGAGCACCAATATAGCAAGATTTCTATAATAAATTAAGTGAGAAAAAAAAGCAAGTCACGGGTTTTTACGGAGTTCTCTGAATTTTGGTCTTCACTAGATACACACATACACCCATACAAGCATACATTCTGTGTATGCACACAAAAATGTTATAGAAAGACTATAAACTGTCACCAAAGTTAACCACCAAGCAAGGAAGTTGGATAGGGCCAAAGAATCCAACTTTGATTTAAAGGGAGAATTGATTAAATAAACTGTATTTTTCTTTTAAAGGGATTATTTAATATTCTTCACTCTGTTTAAAAATAGATTTAAAAAATCATGGTCAATTAGAATAAATTATCCAAAAAATAGGGACAGTGGTAAGAAAAAATATTATGAAATTATATCTTTTTTCTAAGAAAAGAAAGACTTGTAAAGGAATTAGTCTAGTTGTGCTTCAAAGAATCAATTAGTGATGGGTTTTCAAATACTTCAGAGGTAGGTTAAGAATGTGAAAGTCATACATCTTGAAGAACAAACATTCTATAGTAAATAGTCGGCCATTCATTATTTCCAATGTACATAATATTTTGCTAAGTTTTACATCTCCAGGAAAGTAATGTTTGCAAACTCAAACCATGGGCCTTCAATATCACTTTAGATGACATAAACAAATTAAAAATAAGGCCAATGTAAGCCAGTTGTGTTTATCAACCTGATCCCCTCTGAAAAGGAAAAATGAAGGCAAATATCCTTTAATACTATTTATTAGTAGCATAATATAATACATTTTGACAAGTTGAACAGTTGTAACAGGCGGCTGTTAAAATCTCTACAGGGCCTGTTTAGAATGAAAACAGGAGTGAGAGACAGCTCTATAACTGGGTTTTAAGAACAGCTCAGCCATCAACTATATCCTAAGCAAGTACTTTTATCCAGTTAATTTACGGAGTGAATCCCTTAGGGTCCCTAGCTGTCTACCACTGCAGTTCATTAGAGCCCAATATCCAACTTTTCTCATTGTAGCACTGAAAGCTTGTATGCTTAAAATGCAATTAAACTTAAAACAAACAAGATCTTTATTCCCCGACAGTCCTGCTCTTTTTAAATTGACAAAGGCATGAACTTATATAGGATTATTTAGAAAGCACTATATGTTTCAGCCACTTATGGCAAGACATTTGCCCAACTGCTCATCCTGCATGCAATTAGAAATCTAAATACTTGGGTAACGGGTTTCTACTGGGAATTAAACTTGCAGATCTCTTACAAACGGGTAATGTGGTAAGACTTGCTGTCCAATGAGGTGTCTTATTGAAATATCCCAGGCCGTTTCACTTGTCACAGCTGTCGTTTCAGCCTCCTGCACTCACAGTGTATAGCTTTCATTACGAAAATAGAAATTTGTGTCCTAAGTGCTGTTACATTACTAATGCTAAATATTTAATTCCCTGGGGTTCCAATTATGGTTGAGCACTGGCAACACTGATTCTACTTTTTAATAACAACTGTAAAAGCAATTTGAGCATTTTTCAATTAATTAAATACATAGTGAACGAGTAACCTCTTGTCATTTTGCCCTCCAGGACCTCAGCTAATTGGTGTAGAATAAAATGTTTTGAAAATTAACTGATATTCTGTTCTGCACACTGTTATACCACTAAATTACAGTTTGCAAAATGAAGTTTGTCTTCTAATAGTTACACTCAATATAGTTTGCAGATGTGAGAAAGTACCTATGCTTTGAGTATTTAGCAGTGCCTCCAATTAGAGCCAAGTTCAAAGTCAAGCACAGTTTCTCTAAACAGCAGTCAGTATCAATAATACTTTGCATTATTCACAGACAAACGTAACAAATTTCAACATAGGCAAGTTCCCCAGATTCTATCACATGTTT